GCAGACTTTGGAGGTGTGATCCAGTGGTTAGGGGAGATATTGCAGACCAGTGGCATCAAGCTGACTGCAGGAGCCCTGCTCCTGCTTGTTTCAGTTCCTGGGAGCTAATAAGCACCAGCTGCAGGAAACCTGAGCTGGAAAGCATTGTGCAGCTTTCCTTCTGTTTAAAAATATGGCTTTTCCCCCCCTTTACTGTGTTTATGTTTTTATATGTTGAAGAACATCACTTGTAGGGCAGTCTAGTATTGAAAACAATAGTGTGACAGGGGGACAGGTCCAGGTTGGACACTGGTGCAGGAAACACCTGTGAGCTCAGTGCCATCCTTTCCTCCACAGCCACACCACTGTGAGCCCTGCCCTGGCCTGTGGGACAGCTGCTGGCCCTGAGTTAGAGCTTCCAGCAAACTCCTCGAGTGCTGGGTGTGAAGTTCAGCTGCTTTTGACCAGCTCTGCTGTGAAAACTTGGGGAAGATGTTTGTTTGCCCAGCCAGAGCTCACAAGGTGGTTGCTTTGGGGGTGGCTATGCAGAGCTGCTCCCGGCGGGTTTGTGCTTTGTGGGAGCCTCTGGTTGTAGATGGGAGGTGTGGATGTGTAGGAAGGTTCTTGTCTTTTTTTTTTTTTTCTTTTTCTTGTTCCTTTCTACAGAAAAAATCCGGGCCATTCAAATCATTTGCCTTTTCCCTTGTGCTGACAATTTAACAGCCTTTTTAAAAGCTTTGGTTTCTCTCAAGTACGCTCGCCCCAAACTTGTTTTAATTCTTGTGTGGAGGCCTGGAGCTTAACAATTATTTTGCTTAAGCTCTCTGAGACTTGCCATAAAACTTTTTTTTTTTTTTTTAAACGCACACATGCTAATGATCCCCATCAGATCATGTTGTTAAACAGGGAATAAAGTACTTGCACCACGATGACATTATTTTAAAAAAATGTTAAAAGCAGGCCAGCAGAGCCCATTTCAGCAGTTTTGTTCTGAAATAATTTGCACAGATTTGTTAGAGTTAATTTGTTGAAAAGTTCAGTGTTTGTACAGGCAAGTCCTGATTTCCACAGCGAGACAAGAAGCAGCAGAGGAGCGAGCGGGTGTCCAGCATTTGCAGGAGCAGGCTGGTGGGAAATTTCCCTCCCTCTTACCCTTCTGCCCCCTCCCAGCTGTCCGGTGCAGGAATGTAAAAGCAGTGTCAGAAGGCTGGGAAAGTCAACTCTGGGTTTTTGTGGACTCCTTGCAAATCAGAGGAACTGTCTGGCTCAAATCTGCATTTAGGGCCAAGAAAAGAGGATTTCCTGCTATTTAGTTGCTTGAGGAAGGAAAGGATTTACCTCTCTGCTGTAGCAGGACTTAATTTTTCTCCTTTTCAATAAGAATATCATAGTCTAGGGCAGCAGCAGTAAACCTGTGAGAGCTCTCCCTCCTCTGCATGCAATTCCCCCCTGCCCAAGCATCCTCCTGTCACAGCTCCCAGCCCCAGCAAGGACTTGGCATGTCCCTGCACTGTGAAAGAGAGAGTTGTGGAGGGGGTGGCTGCTGCGACGTCGCTCCCTGGCCACCATCTGGATCCAGTTAGCTCTCTCGGCAGTAGGGCTGAGTCTCATTTCCTCCAACCAGTAATGTTATATAGGCAGTGATCCTGTTCTGCCCTAACATAATTGAAAATTATGTGTATTGTAGACTCGCAGCGCTGAAATGTAGACTTGTAAAAATCTGTGGCTCAGGTAGCCTGTGGAGATTGAATTTGGCACACAATGAGGCTTTTATGTAAAGTAAGAATTATAAGCCACCACATCAATATTGTGTTACAGGCATGACAATTCTTGGATGAGGAGGCCTTGAGTCAGGCTCGTCACCTTAAACAATGCTAATATTTCATACTTTATCAACAGGGCTGGCATTTTGAAGCCAGCAAACATTTTTTTGCTTTTGCAAACATCCTGCTGTTGAAGGTGTGAGTTCACTAGCTTGACGTGGGCATTGGCTGTGGGCTCTGGCCCCCTCTGCTTATCTGACAGACAGAACATCTCACCCTTAGCAAGGCTGGGAGGCTGCTCTGGATCCTGGCCACTTGGTAGAACTCATGGAAGTTGCTTTATCGACCCTTGTGCTTTACGGCTTTCCCTTGGGTCTGCTTATTTGATTTTATTTTGTCTTCCACTGGTGTGTTATCCACTGGTAGAAATGGAAGCTGTCCATGTCTGTGCTTGTGTGCAAAACTGAGCCCTCTGGATCTAGACTCTTCCTGCTGGGCTTCATGTGCATGTCCAAAAGAAGCTGTTTGTGCTTTAGCCTTTGCACCGTAAGACTTCTTGGATCCTCTTTGCCAGGGGTGGGAAAGAGAAGGGCTTTACTGAGAGTCCAGACTAAGGGTTTTAAAAGGAGAAAAAAAAGTGTAGCAGTAAGATCTTCTGAAATGTTCATCTTGCCCTAAGGTCAGCCTGCTGTAGGAGCTGAAAGTATGGGCTGAAAGGCACGGACTGTTGTGGGATAGAAGTGGAGTGGGAGCAGCCATGCCGCCTTGCTCTGTTTCTTCTAATGGAATTTATTGCTAGTAAAAAACAGCACAACTGACAGTCCTGAAGGCTTTGTAATCCCTGCAATAATTACTGACTGGATGGGGTCTGCTGTGAGCTCACCCCTGCTGCTTGTCAATGCCTCTGTCTGCCCTTGGGGCAGTCTCAGGGAAGCCCACGTGTTTCTCAGCCTGTGTTTTAGGACAGCTGCTGACCTGAGCTCCTCACAGGCTGTCATGGTTGTACGGATATTCCAGGGTTGCTTGTGACTGTGGAGTGGTCATGGAAAAATGAAGATGATGAGTTTATTTTTGTGGGTAATGGCTTGGTGTCTGTTCCCTGAAAATCCACTGTTTGAGCTGTCATGTTCTTGTAGAGGCTTCAGCTGTGGCAGCGGTAGCTTCTTGCTCTCCAAAAACCACTGTGAACTTTGAAGCAGAGTCATGCACACATCCTGTGAGGACGTTTTCTTTGGAAGAAGGGAAAAATACTTCACTGATTGTCTGGAAAACCTGAGCAAGCCAGTAGTAGCTGTGACCCATCAGGACCCGTTCTGGAAATTCATGCGCCCCTTTATGTGGTGGTGTTTTGATTGCTGTCTAAGAAAACTGGTGGACTTTTGAAAATGTAGCAGTGTACTTGTTTAATAGTGTCATCTGAAAATCTGTAATGTATCAGATTTCCCCTCAAGTTTAAAAGTTGGCTCTCAGTTGGCTTAGGCTTTGGGTCCAAATTCTACACACTCGGGTTGCATTTTTATGCACTTTTTTGAAACCACAAAGGGTTAGAAAGTTGCTTTAACATCATCTCAACTTTAAAATTTATGTTGTGGTCACATATATTGAAGATCAGGGATTTGATGCAAGTGATCAAATATCTGGAGACTTACAATTGAGTTGTAAGAGTTAGAAATATTGCTTATCGGTAGTCTAGTTCTGGTTTGTTTGGGTTTTATTTCTTGTTTTTAAGAAGTGCTGAAACATTCTGGTCCACATTGCACAAATCCCAAATGTGAACATGAATAAAAACAAGACTTCTTGGAACTTGTGGAACTCATATGGGGCACAAATCCAGAGTATGGGTTTGTTTATTTGCATTCCAGTAGCTCGGAAAACTCAGGCCCTCCAAGTGATGGGAATTGGTAACACATTCTCCTGCTGGCTTCTGCCTTTTGGGCACCTCAGTGGCCGGAGTCTTGCAGCAAACAGGCCTTGCATGTGAGCAAATGTTTTGCATACGTGAGCAAATGTGATAGATAGTGATGTGCTGAAAGCATGGAACCAGATCTCCTTCCTTCCTCCATGGAGATTCAGATACAGCTTCCGCTGTAGGCCCGGAGTGGCGGGGGCTGTTTGTGCATGGTGGTTCTTCAAGACTACTCTTACTTTAAAAAAAAAAAAAAGAAAAAAGGAAAGGAATGGGTAAACATAACTATTTCTCTGGTAGGTATTTTCTAGGAATAGATCTGTCAGGTCAAGCAGTGTCTAGTGCTAAATAGGAGCTGCTGCAGTGGCCTGATCTATGCATGCAGCTGCTTTTCTTAGTGCTGGGAGGGGGTGAATGTATGTGGCCATACACATTTCTTCCAGCACGATACAGGGCTTTTAGAAGTCCCATATTAACCTGTGTTAACTGGGACAGCACAGCAGCATGCAGAGAGAAAAGCCTGGGCTGAAATTATATTTAGATGTATAGCACAGAAGTTTGTTTGGGATAACTAATTTCTCTGTGGACCTGCTTTTGTTCAGAATTGAGCACTTCTGGTGCAGCGAGCTGAAGCTTTTCTTGCTTTTGAGTCAGTTCCCCCACATGGTGCAAGCAGGGCACCTGTGTGTCCAGCCTGTCTGCTGTCTGTGGTGGCAGTGCCACAGAGAAGCTGTGGCTGTCCCCGAGCCAGGGTTGTCTGACAAAAGACAAGCCAGAAGAAAATTCATGGTGTCTTCCAGAAATAGTGAAAAGTAGAGAAAATTGGTGCTAAGACCCAGCAGTGTTTTTGGGGTAGTGCTCTGTCTTTAGGGCTTGTACAGCACCGGGGAGTTGGAGCAGTTGACTTGGTACATTTGTTGAAAGAAGGCTGACAGATGACCCATTCAGTAATGAGATCATATTCTTAATTCATGATATGTTTTCCCTCTCCTGACACTGATATCCATCTTTTCCCTTGTCCCATCCTCTCCATGGTTATGCTATTTTGTTTCTTTGTGGGTTTTATGCTACTTCTAGATTTGCTACGTTTAGTAAAATTAACGTAATACTGTCTTTGCAATCTGTTTTTTTTCTTTATTCCTGAACTGTAACACGAATGATATGAGATTGTTAGTTCTGCACAGATTTTGTATCCACAAACATGTAAGGTTGTCTTAATTTTTTGTTTCAGTTCCTTGCATAAGTTTTGATTTATACTTTTTTATCCATGTTACCTAAGATTTGTTTTTTTTTTTTTTGCCTTTCTTTTCTGAACTCATTTTTCTTTTCCCATTTTTGTTTCCTCCATCCAGTATCTGCAGATGAAATGGCCACTGCTTGATGTTCAGGCAGGGAGCCTTCAGAGTAGACAAGCCCTCAAGGATGCTAGGTCTCCATCTCCAGCACACATTGTTGTAAGTAAACACAGAAAGATGTTCTTCTTTTGTTTAAAAACAAACAAACAAAAAAAAAGCATTTGACATTAATGGCAATGGTTGTCATCAGTTTTCTTTTACACAGACCAAAGGAGAAATACCTCAAAACAAATAAATCCCTAACAAGCCTGTGGTAAAAGGAGGGAATACTTTTGTTATCACTGGGCTTTGTTGTCACTGATAATTATGAAATTATCATCCATGTGCCTTACAGGAGACCAGGGAGTAAAAAATACTCTAAATTTACACACTGCAGGATTATGTAGTGGCAGTGGAGTCCAGTCAGGCTGGTTTACACATCTGACCTATCTGTGTTGAAGTGAAGAGAGTGAAGAGACTGTCTGGAAAGCTCAGACTTAAGACTGCCTTAGAAAAATCAAAACCAAGCCTATTCTATGTCCTTTATTTAAAGAAATATTTTCTTAGTGTAAAATCTTGGATGAGAGTTTGAGAGTTGGTCAGGGTTTTTACCTGGGTGAAGGCTCAAAAGAGCCTAGTTCAACAGAGCACGTGTTCCTTTGTTTTGTGATGGCTTCTCATTTAGTATAAACATTGTTATCAAATGTTTACTACTACATGCAAAATAGAAAACTCTCTTTTTAATGAATAGTATTTTAAAAACTACTGTTATTTATTAATTTCTAACTTAAATTCTTGGTTAATTTTTCTTGTGTTTCTGTTGTGAAAACAATGTTGAGTTTGCAATGTTCAGTACAAATTTATATGAGTGGTTTGGGGGTTTATTTTACTTTCTAAAATAACATCCATAGAGATCTAGAAGGAAATGGTTTGTTTATGTGGTGATTTGCAAGAGCAGAGATATGCAATGGTCCATCCTCACCCACAGCCAGTGTCAGTGCCATCTGTTGTTAATAGCTTCTCAGCTCTGTCTATTCATCTGGGATATCTACCTCTGGAGAGAATGGCATGTGCTAGGTTAGAATATTTCTTCTGAAAAAAAAAATAGTAATCAAGTTTAATGTGAATTTTTAAAAAACTTTTTTACAACCACTGGATGATAAGGTAAATGCCAGGAAAAGAAACTGCTCATTGTTTACTTTCTGCTCTATAGTCTAGAGCTGACACAGCTGGTAGATCATCCAAGGCACACATTGGTTTTTCTAGAAATTTCAAATCATACGAAACATTTTGAGGTGCTTCTTTTTCCATTGTTGTTTCTTTAAATTGAGAATTGTCAGCCCATTGTGATGAGTGTCATAGTTCTTTATTCAAAAGGAAAAAAAGATTTCCTATATTTTAGAATCCATAGCTTCTAAACCATCCTTCAAATCATCAGAGAGCAATTGGAACAAGACTGGTATCTGCCCAGTTGATATCTAGTGCTGGCTGCTTCACTTTTCAGAATTACTTTGCTTTTCCTTCCTGTCCACTTGGGCTGTCACTGGAGGAAGAGATCAGAGAAAAGATGTCTGGCTGCATAATCAGAAATCTGCAGTCATCAAAACCTGCCATCATCTTACTCCTAATAAGAAATGAGCTAGAGAAACTTTCCTATTTTAATTCTTATCTTTTTACTGCTGTGTCAGAGGACTGACATGGGGTGGGAATGTTCCCGCGGCTCTGGCATGGTGGAGTGCTGTCAGACTCCTAGGAAGAGATGGAGAGGGAGCCATAGGCTTCTCCTGGGTAGTTGCAGCTGGGGAGGGCAGGATGAATTTGGTTGGGATCACCTGAGCTTCCCAGTGCTGAGCATCCCGTGTCCCTAAGCCTCCTGCCCTGCAGGAGAGCAGACACTGGCCTTTAAAACCCAAAGCAGCCTGTGGTGCTCAGGGGTTTGACTGACTCTGCTCCCCTGACTCTCTCCAGCCCTTCCACCCAGGTGTCAGCGAGGTGGAGATGAGTGGTCAACAAAGTATACAAAAAGGGTTCAAAACTCACAATCATTTTGGAAAACGAAGCGAAACCTGCTTCCAGGGAGGCTGAGGTTGATCTGCTTTGTGTTATGACCATTTATGGGGTTCTTATGGATCTCTTTAAGAGCTGTTTCACTCTGCTATTCAATAAAAAGCATATTTACCATAGCAACCACTTAGGCCATGAGGAACATATACTACCTCTGAGATGGAGGCCACCTTCTTCCCAAAGAGACACAGCTGGCATTTGTAATGTGATCTTTTGTGCTACTTACAATGTTGGAGGGAGAGGAGGCGGAGGAGGGAGTGAGGGGGGAGAGCAGTGGGTTTTTGGGAGGGGGGGAGGTTCTGCAAGGTTTAGTGTTTATTTCTAGCAGCAAACTGTTTTGCCTTGTTCTGTTAAAATATATAAATAAGGGGAAGCTTTTTCCACCCTTTTTCCTGGCACCGACCCCAGGCCACATTAATTTTGTGGAGTGAAAATGGTCTTTTTTTTTTTAGTAAATAAAGTTAGAGCGGGTAATGGCATTTGGGGGAGATAAAGTGGCTGCAGATGCCAGTTGGCCTGGGATGTGTCAGGCATCTCTGGTGTCCCTGTTGCTGCTGCTGTGCCTGCCCACAGCACCTGGGACCTGGCTGCTCTTGCACAGGGCTCTATATCCACTACTGTCTGCATTTGTGAAAACACAGTTCATCTTTTTGTAGAACAGTGATGAGTATTTCATGGGCATCCTGATGTTTCTGTGCAAGTGTAACATGTAGGGATAGAAACTGGTTCTCTACCCTGGTTGCTGTGTCTAGTCTACCCATCAAGTGTATCCATGCCAGTTTTTCATCTTCAAATCAGTTGGGCTGCCCTGAAGATCTGTAGGAAAATGCTAACACCTGCAAATCACTTCTTATCTTTACTCTGTCTCTGAAATCAGGATTTGAGGCTAATCTTCATAGCTGGATTACAGAGAGGAAAGGAGAGAGTGGCGGCTTGGGTTCCCCCATGCCCTTTTTTCCCCTTCTTTTTATTTCTCTCTTCACTTTCTTTTTTTCTCTGCCTCCCCCCTTCTTTCCCCTTCCTCTTTTTTCCTTTCCCTTTTTTAACACTCTTTCTTCTTAGTGCTTGGCTATGACAACCACAAGCTCTGTGTCAGTTTTTACTCCCAGCTCCAATGAAACTCCCCTTAGGAGTTCAGCTTAATGACTCAAGGCTGCATAACATGGCCGTCTGTAATGTCTAAAGTAAAATCTGTTCTATTTGTCAGCCATCCTCCTTTCAGATTTGTTTAAGAACATTAAGTTAAGACTACAAAAATTGAAGCAAAAGACCAGCATGAATAATTTGGCTGGATTGCTGTCCCCAGTGCCGAGGGCTGGGTTAATGCTGCTTTTTCATGGTGCTTGAGAGAGTCTCCAAGGTCCATAATGAGAAACAGAATATTAAACTGAAATTATGTTCAGTATGTCTTGAGGAAGGTACAGCATGAGGCTCCATTTAAGACCAGTGCATTTATTTACATTTAGGTGCTTCACTCATCTGGTAAGACTTTTTGCATCATGCTCTGGCACAGTCATGCTGTTTATCTGTGTCCAAAGGTGAAAGAAAACTGGGGCAAAAATTGTTTTAATAGTATATTATTAAGCTTGCTAGGTCAAATTTTTGAATTCAGCCTGCAGATAGTACTATTATGAGGCTGGGATATTTTTGAAGTGTTTTTTGTGGTTATTTCCCCTCTTTTCTTTCTGAAGATTTCATTGAAGGTATTAAGATTTTGTGAAACAGTCTTAGCGGGAAGTTTTGGGTGTAAAGCAGACTTCAGCTTGCTCTCAGGGGTGGGGTGCTAGTTGTCCTGAAGTCCCATGGTCAGTGTGCACCTGATTTGATCCACATGCGTGCTGCCAGCAGGGTGATAAGGATCGGAGATGGGTGATGTGGGAGTGGGAATCTCACATAAAAGTTTTCTGTTGCAGCCTGGACAGGCAGGTGAAAATGAGCAAGGTATGTCTGTGCAAGGATCTCTGAAATCTGCTCACTGCAGAAAGCAAACTCCTTTAACACCTCTTTTATCTGTGTGTATTGCTACAACCTTAAGGAGAAACCCGGTGCTGTTCTTCCCTGTTCTCTGCAAAATAAATATTCTGATTCAGCCATACCCTGTTTTGGGCAGGAATGTGGTTGAAAGACCAGTCCTGGGATCCTGCCTCCTGCAGGCTGTGCAAAGTCTTGCTTTTAGCTTCCTTACTACTTGGCAAAAACATTTAGAAGGCAACAGGATGGTGGCTTGGTACAGTATATTCCTTATAAAACACTAAGGGTTTTTAAAAATTCCTGCATTTTGAAGTAAATGTCAATGTTAACCTCGGGGGGAGGACTTCCAGTACTTTTTGGCTTAATATGTAAGGAACACAGCCATATAGTAGACTGAATCACCAAGAACAAAGAATCACTGTGCAGTAGTGTATCTATTTTTTCTTCTTTTTTTTTTAAAGTAAAAACATTTTCTCAAAACATAATATGACAAGCAAAACTGAAGGCAAAACTATCTTAAACATATTGACTGTTCTCTGTCTCTACAATGAGCAGGGACTGTGGGCATCTGGGACCTCTGGGTGGTTTGGAGAGATCAGTTGTTTTGTTTTTTTTTTTTTCCCCAGAGCAACTGGAGTTGAAGTCTGTCCTGCCTGTTCCCTAATTTTTTTGTCTAATATGGTTTGTACTTCTGCATTTTAAAGGATAAATACCTGCTAGTAACAGGTTTATTTTAGGCGGACTTTAAAATGCACCTTCAGTGTCCCTCCAGACAGGCTGGAAGTGGGGTGCATCCAGACATACATGCGTCCTGTATGTGTGGAGCCATCTGGAACCATAATCTTGCAACTTCCACTCACAGTGCTCCTAGAGGGCTTTTGAAGCTCTTTGTCTTTAATGTTTTGTTGTAGGAAGACTCTTCTTCCTCTGCAGTAACTTCTTGAGATGTTCGTGGCTTCCACGCTGCCTGCAGCCATGACAGGACACCCTCCTCTGTCCCTAGAGATCTGCAGGGTGATCAGGAATATGGTGGTGTTGTGGGAGGAAGGACTTGGCTGGGCATCATTGATATCAGTACCTGGTGT